CAGCGGGTGGAGGCTCGCTCAGCCCCCTGGGCAGGTCCCCAGCCCGGCCCTGCCCGGCAAGCGAGTGCGCGCCAGTCGCGAAGTCCGCTCTCTAGCCCAGCCGCCATGGCAGTTCCCGCGGCCAGCTCCGACGCCGGCTATATCCGCACCGTCTTGGGCCAGCAGATCCTGGACGAGCTGGACAGTTCCACCCTCGCCTTGCCGTCGATGCTATCGGACGGGCGAGCCGAAGCGCAGAAGTCGCTCCGCATCCAGCGGCAAGTCCAGCAGACCTTGGCCCGGAAGAGCCGGGGCTCCCTGGTCAACGGTGAGTGCCTCGGGGGGCCGGGAAGCGGGAGCCTCGCGGGCCCTTTCCCGCCGCCCTCCCGCTTTTCAGTGGCGTGAATGATTTCCCCACGCCCTTAAGCAAGTAAAGATGCGAGAGGCAATTTTCACGTCGTCCCCCCTTCCTCCTTCACTTCACGGGCAGCAGGAGAAACTCTTAAAATGTCCTCTTTCTGCGGCATAGGAGAGCGCAGGCCGTTTTGAGTTGAGCCCTTGTAAATCTCTCCGCAAAGGGCCAGGGAAAGAAACTGACTGGACTCCGGGAAAACTTTTGTTGGGATAAATAAGTGTATGCAGAGACTCCTTGGTGTATCCAGATGGGTGGCGACCTTAACCTCCTGCAGCAAATAAACTGGAACATTTTCAAACTTTTGACTTTGGACTGGACTGGAGGGATGTGTTTAAAACTAGCAAAGGCACCTGTAATGCAATCTGCTGTTAAAGGGAATTTCTAATATGGTAGGATTTGCAATTCAACAGGTAACTTTTAAAGCTCGTCAGCAGTCTTGCCATCGGCTGAGCCAGTCACTCTCTCTCAGCCCTAGGAAGGAGGCAATGACAAACCACTTCCAAAAACAAGTGACAAGAAAACTGCAGGAATTAGTCCAGGCAGTGACTCAAAGGCCCACACAGAAAAGAGAAATGTATGGAAGACAAGGCTATTAATGGCCACTATTTGTCCTGCCAACAAAACTGTAGGAGGCAGTGTGTCAAATACTGGGGAATCCAATCTATTTTCTTGAGATATAGGATGCCTCATAATGGTGTGGGAACGTTATGCTGGTCTAGGCTGAGAGTAAAGAATTTCTATCCCACCTTACCTTCAGAAGTTTAAAATAGCCTAGATTATTATCTTCCTCCCATTGTCCTATCTTCTCAACAAGCCTGCAAGATAGGTCAGGCTGGGAGATAGTGTCTGATCCAAAGTTAGCCCGTGAGCTTCTTGGCTGAGTGGAGAGATTTGAACCTGTATTTCTAGTTGATCGTACAGTCTGTACAGATGTTCTTCCCCTCTCCTTCCATCCTTTTCATGCCTTACCCTTTTCCTCTTTCAATTTTCTATGTACTAACTAGACCTTCTTGTCAGAAACCATCCAGAGCTGCCAGGAGTTGGGCAACATATAAACATATTAAAATGTTAACGTTGAAGGAGGAGCCAGTGTCCATACAAACCACCCCAATTTAAGGTGGGTTGTTTTAGATGTAGTGGGACCATTTTCAAATTTATAATACAGCTGATTTTCATCTTGCATGAGGTCCACTGATAAAAATCTGTTGTAGGATATGTGCAGCCGTTCACCTACACTGCACAGCAAATTTTACTGCTTGCTGTTATATATTTAAAAGAGAAGAGAAAGTTAGAGATACTAAAAACCACTGCCCATCTTTATAATAAATGAAATAAAATAATAAAAATCTCACAGTGTTAAAAAATTCACCTCCAATGTTATTGCATTCCTCATATATCATATATTACATTATGTTATGTGACAAAGACAATGTGAGAAATGAAATACTTTTTCACTGTTTTTGGAGTGCAGTCCCCATAGTATCACTTATCAACTGTGATCACTAAACCAACAAAGGCTGCACACAACTAATATAAAAAGTTTTCAGTCTAGGCTTTAACACAATCATTAAAAGCATTTACTTTTCCCATCCTACTATATACCGTAGTAGTTATTATAACTGTTAGTACACCAATCCATGTTTCAGAGATCTAGTCTTAGCTGTCTGGGAATGATGGCAGTTGTATGGTATGAAGTTGGGAGAGACTGGAGCAACACAGCCATATTAACACCACCTAGTAAAGTAGTTTTTATCACCAGTCAAAACATTAGAGACTTGGTGTGGTTTCTCCCAGGGATATCCTCAGGTGGGCCTTCAGCTGCATAGCTGTGAGCACCATCTTGACTTTTTGATGCCCCTGGTGGATCCTTTCCCATTACTCTTTTCCATGACTAGTATATGGATATGTATTATGTACAAAAGGAAAACAGGTTCTTTAATTCCCCCCCATCATCCACTCAACTACCCAAATGATACTAGCATAATAATCAACTAAGTCATCAGCTTCTTCCAGGCTGCCTTGAAATTTTAGTGAAATTTAGTGACTTTAGGGAAGTCAAGTGATATATGTTTGAAATAAATGAATCAGGCCTTTGAGGTAAATTCAACAATATAATATTTGCTCATGTTATCACTTGGCAAATACGGTTTTCGATACTTGGTAGGTATCCAGTATTAATGCTTCAGTGAAGAAACTGGAGGGTGCTATTTTCATAACCCGCTTAAAACAGTGTATGGCACAGAAAGGCACAGAGCTGCATGAAGCGTAATTTGTCAATAGTTCAGGAAGGAATATATCAGTCATTCTTACTGAAATGTTTGAAGACGTTTTCTTCAAACTCTTTGAAGCTCCAGCTCTTTTATTCTAGAATGGAAGCTTGTCTCGTTTAGCTGTGTCATGTACACTCATATCTAAACATACAGACTGATTTTCCCCCAGGGCTACAGGCTTATGACTAATGTCTTTCACTAAGTAGTTCTCCAGACAATCCAAGTAAGATATATTTGGATTACTTGGATAAGTATATTTTACACTCCTTGGCCTGAAGGCACCTACCATAAATTAATCTCCTCTCGTTCCCCTCATGTTTTATCTCTTTACAACACAGGTCCTTGTAGGTGCTTTGCATATAGGCTATTCTCCTGGTTTTATGAGCCTCCCAGGTTTCTGTGATATGTTGCAATTCATGCTTCACTTGCTTGTTCAGGATCAGAGATATACAAAAAGGTGGCCAAATTGTGTGTCGTGGCCTATAGGGTTAAAGGAAAAAAATACATCACCGCCCCTTGACTGGCACAAGACAGGTTCCCTAATTCCTTTGAATTGTGAAGTTGAGATAGATTTGTTTTGTGACTTTAGGTTTGGGGTTATTTTATGCAAGGGTACACCATCCTGCATGTATGTATGGGATAGTCATTGACCAAAATAAAGCAATATTGATTGATTGATTGATTGATTGATTTAGATTATTCAAAATTGTAGGAAGAATGCATTTCTTCAGAATTTCTTTGTTGCAAAGAAAGTGAATTTCTGCTTCTAGTATTTTGCAACCAGGAACCCGGATTGCTATGGTTCTTCAGTGAAGTTTCTGTTTTGTTCTTATAGTCAGCCTGTATGATCCTGTGATTGAATGTCAGATTAGTCTTATCCTAGTTTAAATACCCAATCACTGGACAATCCTCAGGTGGCTTCAGTGCCTGGGTTAACATGTCATACTAAACCACAATATTTTTAGTTCAGATTCAGTATGTTGTATGAACTCTCCCAGTGGGTGATTTATTTAATAAAGCAGGGTTAAAGACACCATGACTTAGGACAATGTGTGAACCAAGATTATCTCTGAACTTAACTTACATCATAGTGTTTGTTCTAAAGAGAGAACAAAGCGAAAAGGGAAGGAGCCATGTTTATGCTCTGAGCTTCTCAGAGGAACAATGGGCTACTAAACATTTTTTAAAAATTAAAAGCTGAGATTTTGAGTGACTAGTTTTTACACAGTAGTTGACTCCAATATTAGCATTTCCATGTTTATGCTCTGAGCTTCTCAGAGGAACAATGGGCTACTAAACATTTTTTAAAAATTAAAAGCTGAGATTTTGAGTGACTAGTTTTTACACAGTAGTTGACTCCAATATTAGCATTTCCATGTTTATGCTCTGAGCTTCTCAGAGGAACAATGGGCTACTAAACATTTTTTAAAAATTAAAAGCTGAGATTTTGAGTGACTAGTTTTTACACAGTAGTTGACTCCAATATTAGCATTTGAATGATTTGTTGCAGTTAATCCAAAGCCATATACATCATGAATGGATCTAATGTGTGATTCTGAATCCACCATAAAGTACATACTGTGATTTGTTAAAGGCTCTTCTTGTGTCCTCACCAGCAATCAGGTATGGGAGAATCTTTTTTACAGTTGCACTAGTAGAAGAAGCCCACCTTGTTTCTTTCCTGGCAGTATTCCACCTCCTCAAGACTTTTGGCCAGCATTTAGTTCACAAAAGTTTTTTTTTTTAAAATGCATGACACTGAGCTTTTATCAACTCTCTTCCTAAGCTTTTAATCTGCTGTTTTACTTTCATTTAATTCTATGTTTTTGAATTGTGTATTTCTTATTGTAACAATAAGTGGAAGCGCTTTAAGTAAAAGGATTGTCTATTGGCTCATTTCCCAATAGATATATTTGAAAGTGTGGGTGTTTAAGAAGCACAGAATTTGTCCAACAGTTGATTTCTTAAAGGAAAATGTAGCTGCCTGAAGGCAGGAATATAGATGTCAACAAAATAGATCCTGGGAGTAATTACAAAAATGGCAGTCTTAAAAAATGTTACAGTGGCCCAGGAATATATAAACTGAAATTACAGACTTATGGTCTCGAGAGCTTTACATGGATCTGCAAAGATTTCCACTAAGTTGTCATCTTTTTTTAATTTAACCAAACGGAGAAAAGTAAATACATGGGACGTAATCATGCCCACTCTAATTAATTAAATGAAGATAATTGTCAGAGGCATCTGCAGGAAGAAGTCCAAATCTGGAAGACTGGGGGTGCAGCTTCGTGATCAGAGCTCTGCCCTTTTGTACATGAACCCTGTATGAAAGGGGCCGAGTTCTATCAAAATGCCATGTGAGCGTCTTACAGACTTTGACACAGCCCTGGTAATTGTAATTAAATGTTTTGTTTCCCCTGCTCCCACCTTTGTTTTTACCCTGGCCTCATCTCCCTTTGGAAGATGCACCATTATTGGTTCAGTAGAGATTCCTGCACTACTCTGATGCCTGCAATACCTAGCTTGTCTTTAAGATTAATACAAGAACCTGCCCTTACCATCACACAATCTTTTACGAAGCAACCAGCAGGACTGATACACCTGGATACATTCATAGGAGACTGGAGAGAAATGAGTGGCCAA